CGGGAGGAGACGACCGGGTCAGAGGCTGCTGTTGAACGGGATTCCTAGTGAAAGAACACCGTCGGAAACAATATTTGAATGTAGGATGGGAATCTGGATGAACTGACTGCACTGACCATGTTGTCAGGTGGACTGTCTCACTGAAAAACATTAAAACTATTTTTTACCCTCTGATCACAGCAAATATAGCTGCCATTGTTACAGGCAAAGAAAGGATAGAGTAGCTCTGCCCAACGCACATCAGACCCACTTTTCGACTCCGCAGCAGGAGCAGCAAAGATGCTTTAACCCTGCGACAGAACCAAACTTGTACAAGCATCAAAATTTAGGCAGCACCGCATTTTTGCTGCTCCTGCTGCTAACATAAGCCCGTAGATGCATCACTATAGAAATGGCTCAGAATAACCTGAGCCACTCCAACTACAATCTTCATCATAAAGTTTTAAGCCTAGCCTTATATATATATATATATAAATTATATAAGATATACTTCGCATCGGGGGCAGCTGGAGCCCATTCTTAATCTCATACATAATCAACCTGTTCAGGGTCGATACATAAAACTTGATCTGTCCTCTAGGATCTGATATCGCCTCCACTGATGCGATGCAGCTCAGTATATGGTGCCGCTCCACTCTGAGCCAAGCCATGTTCTCTGTTGTCAATTTGAAGGGTTTTCTTTTATCCTTGCAGGTTCCTCTGGCCCGCTCTGAGGGAAACCTCCTTGAGCTGATGGAAAGAGTCTGTGAGAGGATGGAGGACTATGGAGAGCGCACAGATCCATCTACAAACAGGAAGTCCTACATCAGGGTCAAGTCTCGCACCGGGGAGCCAATGGACCTCTCAGAGGCCGCCCTGGACTCCAGAGTCACATCCAGTTTAAAATTTGCAGTGAGTTTTCTTTTTAGCCTCCTGCAAAGAGGAATTATTTCGACATAAAAAAAAACAAAACACTACTTATTTCCTCGGTTTCAGTTCTCCTTTATTTCAGACTGATCTGGTTGATGTATCAAGGTTAACTCTTATTTATTCTCTTTTTTCCCTAAAGTGTGAAACGATTGTTGAACACCACGAAGATGAACTTATTGAATTCTTTTCTCATGAAACGGATAACGTCAAAGACAAGCTCTGCAGTAAAAGGACAGGTATGTTCCCCTTTTCTTTTGACCCTGTGTTGCTTCGTACTGCAGGACGTTGGCGAGAGTCTGATGGGTTTTTGTGTTTCTGCAGACCTCTGTGACCACGCCTTAAACATTCCCCACGATGAACTTTGATGTTCCCCCGTCAGAGCCACGGACTCTGACACAAACGGAAACATTGGGTGCTGTAATTTCTCGGGACGTTGCCTCAAGATGTAAACAAATCTTCTTTTTTTTATACGAGATAACAGAATTTAGGAGCACTTTTAGTTAAATTATGCTGTTGTTTGGTTACCCCTCTGCTGTACTGTATATTTATCCATTCTTTCTCTGGTCTACCTGTCAAACACTCCAACATTAGACTCAGACTGTGAACATTAAGTGTTAATAAAGTGTCCTTGACTGATTTCCTTCTCTCTGTGAAAGACAAGACTCAACAGCTATGGAGTAAATTTTGTACCAATATTGTTGCCAACGAAGAACTTGAACAGAAATTAGAGGGAACAATTGCAATCCAAGAATAAAAGTTTGAAAAACTTAGTCAAAAAAGGTTTTGTGAGTACCTCTTTTAAACATTTTATTCATATTTAATTTTTTCAAACCTAATTTTTTATCCCCCATTTTATTTTTTTAAATTTCTATTTTTCAGATTGAGTTTTATAAATTGCCTTCTTCCAGACTGATTTGCAATATTCACTTCAAGCCCGATACAAGCACTCACTAATGACTAATGCAATGTTGTTACTAACATCCAGCAGACCAATAGAAATGCGTCTTCAGTCCTCGATGCAGAGGAAAGCCCCGCCCCCAGAATTGAACAGAATATGATCTGCAAAACACAATTGGTAAAATTCAGTCTGAAAAAGGGATATTTGAAACAAAGTTTAACATGAAAATATAAAACTTGTTGAAAAATTATATTTAAAAAAAATTATTTAGAAAAAATAACATTTTAAAGTAAATATCAAATCTGATAAATATGTAAAGTTGATCTCAAAACTGCTTTTTATTAAAGGGGTCTTTTTTTTTTTTTTTTTTTAGTTGAATTTTTCATTTTTGCATTGCTTTTATTTTTTCCTCCGATTTGCAAAACACTTTCTTTACTTGCAATAATAATGGAACAACATTCACTCCATAGGTTTCTCTAATCCAGATAAATGGTTCGTAAGGAAGAAAAACTCTGACAAAGTCCTGTCACTGTTTTATCTCCAACAGGATAAAACATAAAAACTTCAAACAGTTAAAGTGGGGTTTTTTTCAGTTTGTCTTGAGATTTGTTTTCCCTTTAAAAAGCTGTTGGATTCTCAGTGGCATGTTGTTTAGTTATTTAAAAATAAAATGATCAAGATCTTTTTTTTATAACATTTTTATCGACATTATTAAATAATCGGTTTACATCCAAGTGTGAGAATTTGTAATAAAATATCCAGCCTTTAGTGATCCTGTTTCATGGTCAGTTATTCATAAATGACCAGATCTCCTTTATTAATGTGACATTTTTTCATCATTATTTAATTAAAACACTGTCTTTGGTGACAATAAAGTTCATTTCAATTTCTCCCTGTCATTTTTTATTTATTTATCAGGGTAATCTACTGTCAGACCAGTGTAATGATGTAACGTTTGGGGCTGAAAGAATTAAAAACCACATTCTGACTTTTGAAAGAAAATCGTTGAAATGTCACAAGCCTCCTAAAAATCTTAAATTCTTTTTAAGCTTTTATCAATTTCAGATTCTTCACATATTTATATCATGACTTCATCTTTTATACAACAACATAACATAATTATTAATAGAGGTTCATAAAAAAAATCAACCAAAATAATTTAATGAACATCTGTTTTTTGCCAGATACACTGATTTGTATAAAGTTTGCACTAAGTAAAGTTTTACTGGGAATATCAAATGTAATTTACATTTGCGCTTGTACAGACAAAACTCATTAGACGGCCTCTGCACACACAATGTGATACACCCTCTGGAAGACGGCCGTCCACCCCATCTAATGTGGCTAACAGTTAAGCAAAACACATGACTAATAAAGAATAAAATTAACATGATAATTGAAAAGCCAACATTCAAACATTTTCTAAAGCTGGTAACCAGTAGTCAATTTTTCTCTAATAGAGTTATATGTTCAACTTTTAGGTTTAATTCTTCCACTTTTTTTAATCACCACTTTCACCCTAAATGAATAAGAATGAAAATGCAAAAACGGAGAGAAATCTGTCATTTTTTTCAATGCGCAGAAAAACATTTAAAACATTAAAAATAAAATCGGGTCTAAACATGTGCTTAAAAATACAATAGAATTTTGATAAATTAATATTTATTTCTATACAAGGTCTCATTCAAAGTGGAATATAGCATAAAGTGCTTTACAGAAATCAAGAAAATGCAGAATTTAAACAAAAATCTCTTCACCATGCACATTCAAAAAATAAGCTTATAAATAGCTATAACTAAAGAAAAACAATCCAAGCCAAAGCTGGAAATGGAGGAACTGGAGATATGATTAACAAAGAGAAAAAACAAATTAAAGAAGGAAAGATAATTTAAAAAAAAAAGTAAACAAACATGTTTTGTTTTTTCCAAACTATTAAGGCCAATAATTATATAAAAATAAGCAAATGTATTTTCATTCTTTTATGAAAAAAAGTTCGAGATGAAATGAATCCTGTGATGAAAATAGCTGTTCTGCTTCAGCAAACCACATAAAGTCTCACTGCAAAAGGTTTGGAAATACATAAATAGAAGATCTGCATTAAACCATATTAGTAGCAAATTAGGGCCCCATCACACCTTGCCGATTTAGCCAGCTTATGCCCAACATTCCAGAGTCTCCTAAAACGCTGCCATACGCTGAGCTTTCTAAGCATTTTTTCCAATTTTGGGTGTATACATAGAGTATTCATAACCAGACCAGAACTTATGTCCAACGCCAGCCTAACTTATGCATAACGCACGGCAGCCTAATGCCATGAAATCATGCACAAGCCCGTGTCCTGAGGGGGGCAGCGATTCGCCGGAACTACATAAAAAGACGTCTTTGATCGCGGTATTAACCTAGCTGCTGTTTACCGCCAACCAAAAAAAGAAAAAAAAGAAGGGTTGCAGTGGCAGCAGATTCAGCGTCATGTTTGCAAGGAACTTTGTGGGTGGTGGGCGTAAACGCAGGGAGGATCCATCAAACTCACTTTCTCACCCTATGATGGGGATGCAGTCTGGAGGAGGACTGATGGTTTCCTCCTGTGAACCCCCTTTATACCAAAATGCTGCCAATACGCCATTATACAGTAGCTAGAAGTTAGAAACACGTTCAGCACTCATCTGGAACACATCAAATACTTTAGAGATAAGTTCTTGATAAGTTACGATTGTATGCGCACGTTAGTTTTTGGATAACCAAGACACCACAACGTATGAGTAACTTACAATCAGATAACTTATCTGTAACTTATGGTCCACGTATGGCTGGCATACTTGTCGTAAGTCGACGTGTGCGGCATGTTTTGCCGTGTTAGAGCATGCTCATAACTTATACAAAACTGACCCATAACTTATCCAACATATTCCAGTGTTTTTGGCAGATCTTTTGTACGTCAGGCATACGCTGATCTAAATTGTCAATGTGTGACAGGGACTTTAGTACAAGAAAATTAATTTTAACCTGCATCACCAACAGCTGTTCTCTAGCTGAATAAACCTCCACACACTGAAACCACTGCAAACATGCCTGTGTTTTTACTCAGCAATCAAATCTACTGATACATACTGCAAGCAGTGCTTTGTAAGTCCCCTTAAAGTTTTTCATGTTTTCATTCTACAGTGCGTGTAACTCTTGTAGCTCTTCCTTTGAAATTGGCTTTCTGGTCAACAAAATCTACAAACAGAACTGTGGATCTCTGCAGTTTCAGGCTGCCTCTCTTATTAATGCAGAATTTATCCAGCCTGCAGGTGAAGAGCAGTCATTTAGCCGTTTTTTTTTTTTTGTTTTTTTGCCTTTTCTAAGAACCTGTGGTTCAGCATGTTGTTTTTATAACCCACTCTAGCTTAAAACATCTCCACAGCTTACTCCTGGACCTGTTTGCTGTGTTTCCTTATCTTCATGAGGCCGTTTGTGCAAAGAACAGCTGCATTTATACCAAGGCACTTATGGATTCTATTTACTAGTGATGTGACCTCTGATGGGGGGGTGGTAAATACTTCAGCAAAGCACTGTTAGCTGTCTTACTTTGATTTATCCTGTTAAATGGCCACACCAAAACCATAAAAAAAAAACATTTTTAAATCGGAGAATACATATAAATGAAATCAGCTGCTGTTCTTTAACCATTGGGAGGGTCTAGCCTACCACATAAAATCATGTTAATGCAGACAGTAGCCCTATTGGTGGAGTATAAGGCTGCACATACGCCCTGCAGGCGGGATGTAATAATTAATGGGTTAATACCTCAGTAGCATCTTCATCTACCTCCACTGGAATGTGCTCACTAGAACCACCAATAGTTAGATCTTCATCTTTACTTCCTTTAAACTGGGATTCCCCCTTTTCATTGCTGGAACATCTTACCTCCCCTTCAGCCGTGTCAGACTCCTCTTTCTCTTTATCCACCTCGCTGGAGTGTCTTGTTTCTATGTCCACTACGGTGACAGTATTTTCAAGGACATGACTGGTGCTACTGCAGGACATAGCATCTTCATCCGCATGTTCCTCTGATTCTTTGTGATCCTGGTCGCCCTGCCTTGTCTCAGCACTGTCCTTTAAAAGCTCATCAAAGTTCTCCTCAGACTCTAGGTCAGCGACCATGTCTAGACAACTCGCATCCGACCTCTCACTCACTTCCTCCTCTTCGCTCTCCGAATCAGGCGCTGTGTGCTTCCTGATACGATTAACCACTTCCAGCAGGGACTTTGAGTACTGAGATCCTGTCTTGTGGGCAGCAGTTGGAGAGAACTCTGGGGAGACATCATCTTCATGGGGAGGAACAATTGTCAACTGACTGGATTCTTCAAACGATTGTATATAAAAGGGATCAGAGGAATTTTCCTTGTCTGGAGCAGCAGTGACAATATTCAGAGGAGAGACAGTTTCTAAGAGGGGAACATGGTCTCTACCTGGCAAATCATCAGCAATTAAGTGATTGTTTAGGACCTCACTGCTTGAAGGTGAAGGAGGGCAATTGTCGATAAATTCCCGTTGGGGATCAACGTTTTGCAAAGTGTCCGCCTGTGGCTGAGTCTGGGTGGATTTGTTTCTCTCACTGCTTTGTCTTTGTTCCGAGAGACTTGCGATCGGACCTGGATTTATTTGGGATTGCTCCAGAGTCTCGTCTTTTTCTTTCTCCCTAAAAACACCCCCCTCCACATCAAACCCAACCTCTTCTGTTTTACAACTTCTTGCATTTTCCTTCTGACCCATTTGAACTGAAGGATCAGGTAGAATGCTTTCTTCTAATTGGTGATCTTGCTCCCCTTTTGCAGAAGTGGCTCCTTCAATTTGGACGCAAGTAAGTAGCTGAGCCAAGATGTTGGGGTCTTCATACCTAGTTTCATTTGTAGAGCAATCACCTTCATCTGTTTCTTGCTTTTCAGAAATGCAAGGAACATCATCCCACTGTTGACAGTTATTGTCTTCATGTGGCAAGACACCCTCTATTTCTGTAACCAAGGACTTGTTGAGCTCACTTTCAGCCAAATGCAACATTTCATCATCTTTAGTCTCCACATACAGCTCCTCATCATCTGCAAGAAATATTTCTTCAAGACGGGGAGGGCTTGGGAGATGGTCTTCACTGGGAAAGGAGCTCAAAAAGGAATCGGGTGTTTTAGGAAAAAGAGGAGGAGAGGGGGTGTCAGGGTGAGGAGTTAGGTCTAAAGCTGAACCGTCCTGTATGCCTGGGTCTAATAAATTCTGGGGAACCGAAGAGGAACTATAGAGATCAACATTATGCTCTTCCTTTTTACTTTCTCCACAGGTGGATTCATCCCTATCGTCTTTCTTAAGCTCAGTTTGGGTTAAAGTGTCGTCTGTTTTGAGGAGGGACTCAGTGTCATCATCTTGAGTGACTAGGTTTTGAACGTCTGTAAAATCTTTACCACCATCATTTGTTAGCTGATTTCCAATCTCATCTCCATCTTTCTCCACTCGGGGAACCTCTACCTGCTCTGCCACATCCTCTAGCATGTCCTCAGCAGGATGTGGTTCAGCCTCCTCCTCCTCTTCACACAGTGGTTCATAATCCTCACTTTTCTGTTTGATGTCAGCGTCATGCAGAGGTATTCCAAGGATTCTTTCTGCTCGCTCTGCCAGTGTTTCCTTTTCAGAAAGAGAGGTCAACTGGGGTACATCAGTCTCTTTGTATTCCAGTTTGTTCATTGGTGTTGAGTGTAGATCAGCTTCAGGGTCTTCATTTCTTCTCAATGCCTCCTCACTTGGGCGGGTTGTAACATCTTGATAAAGCTTAGAGCAGCTTTCATTGTTTGCTGTGGAGCCTAGATAGTGAACTTGCTCCTTCTTTGGTGAAGGGATCATCTCTACTTTGACAACAACACAGCTGGTGTCTATTACGAACAGACCTTTCATGTCCTCAGCGTTGTCCTTAATTTGCAGATTCTTCTCTTCGTCGTCCGCTGAGTGGCTTCTCAGATCTTCACCTCCATCTTGGTTTAACATGCTTCCTTTTGTGTCTTTCAAGCAGGTTGTGTTGGAGCTCTCAGTGTCAGTCTTGTTACTGGAACTAGGCTCCCTCCATAAAGGGTATTTGGTCAACAAAGGCTGCACAGACAAAGATTCACTTCTTTCAAATACAGGTTTTTCGAGTACACCTTTTGCGGTACTTGACGGGTCTTCTTCAGGGATCATCTTTTTTCCAAATCCAAGTGTCTTTTTATCTGACTGCTCTTCTGATGCCTGTGCTCTGGAGTCCACATCATCAACAAGCTCCTTCACTTGCTTGTTATCCTGTGTGTCTTTTGAAAGCCCCCCTGTTTCTGTGACTTGGGGGCTAGTTTGGGAGGGGCAGACTGGTAAAGACTTGGTTTCAGAGGGGCTAACTATTCGAGAAACCAGGCAGAATATGGTCATCCCTCCTGTCTTTTTCTTTAGTCTGAACTTCCTTCCTTCTATGACCTTACAAATGTCCTCCTTCTCTTTATTTGAAACATTAGCTGCTTGCGTTTGTTGAGCTAATAATTCTTCGGGTTTCTGTGCATCAGTGGGCCTGTCTGCCTTTGAAGCATCTCCCTTATGTTTACTAGACCTCTGCTGCTTTAGTTCAGGGCATGCATTGCTTAGATCTTTCTCCACATGCCTCTTGGTTTGCAAGTCCACTGGAACATCCTGCTTTCCATATATTGGCTGTGACCAGTTAGCTTGGTTATTACCAACATGCTGCCAGCCAATGTCACAGTTTTGTGTCACAGGAGGACTTTTGTGCGGCCTGCTGTAGGAGGGAGGTCCAACATATCCAGGAGGTTTGCTGAAAACCCTAGGTTGGTAATCACTCTTTTCATTCATGGGGTTTGTGCCTGTATTAGGATGTTCTATTTTGTCCCACAGCCCAGAATGTCTACAGTTTGCATTTAGTTGGCTATGTTGTAGATGAAATCTAGAATTTGTTTCCGCTTTTTCTCTCTCTGGAGCCCGGTTGCTCTCTGACAGGCCTTGGACTGCCTCTCTTAACTCTGCTTCTAAACGTCTCCTCCTGGGCAGCGAGTGACTGTACCGAGCCGCCCAAGCCTCCAGCTCCCGATAGCTGCTGTCATTCCTCTTTGTGGACACATCTCTGTTGTAATGGGAATGTTGACTCTGATCCCACCTCTTCATCCATGGATCCCTCAGAAAGCCTCTGTCATAGTCCTTCATAGCTCCTGGAGACACCAACTCTCTCTCTCTGGGGTTACGTTGCCGATACTCACCAAGGTCCCGGTGGCGCTGATCGTTATGGTGTAAAGTAAAAGGGAAACAAGCAGAAGAAGAGCTGGGCAGCTCTGACTCTGTCCAGTATTCCTGTAGAGCTCTTCCTGCTCTCGATCCTGGTACTGTCCAGTTACTGGACTCCCTTCCCAGACTCTGCTGCTCTCCTGAGTACACTGTGTTATAGGTTGCCTGGTGTCGGTCATGATAGCTGTGAGTGAAATGTTGGAAAAAATATGTTACAAAAGTAAACTTGTAATACATTTAAAACATTTCACAAAGAACTATGAATGTGTTAAATAAGTCGTTCCCAAACTTTTCTTGCTGGTCGCTTTAGTGCCCGAGAGGTTCAAACACCTTGCAAATCGACGAATTTCCAACAAATTGAAAACTTCCTGTAAACACAAGAATGAGACTAAAACACACAAAACATGCAAAGGAGAAGAGCTGTATTCACAGAAAATAGAGAGATGCAAAGTAAAAACATGCTGCAAACACAAATCCTGCTGCAAACACATTAATTATACAAACATGCACTGAAGAAAAAGTGGTGCAAATAGAAAATAATCTAAGAAACTAAGAAAAGCTACAAACTAGCTCCTGATAGCAGAAATGTTTCACACCATTAGGGGGAAACAAACGCATATGGGGTCATACCATAAAAGCATTAACAGGATGCTATGAGAGATGTTTTGTTTTTTCTTTATCCAAAGGAAAAAATAATTATTCTTTTATCCTTCAAATTTTCTCTGGACATTGTATTTATATGATGGAATGCTACAGACAATAATTCATAACAATTTCTCTGGTCGGGTACCATTTGTGTTAGTGATCACCCCCCCTAGTGGTAAGGCAAGGCTTAAAACTTTCCTTTTTGATAAATCGTATATAGTGTT